ACAGTTTCCTCCACATGATCCCAACTAGGATGGAGAATAGATATTTACACAACATAAACAACATAAGTATCAACAATATATTTGAAATGAAATTCACTTTCAAATAGAATAAATACCTTCTCTCTAGCTAGTGTACCCAAGTAGCTACTAAATTGGGTACTAAAGGGACCCGACACCTTGCCGGTCCTAGGATCAACGGACACGAGATAACTTACGGCCGGATATGTGTCTAACGGTCAAGCCTTTCAACCGTGTAGATTATCGACTCCTCTTACTGGAAAATGTCTTTCCATATGCCTGAGGAGATGGTGGTGGAGATGGTGGAGATGGTGGAGGACATGCCATTTACCTGTAATGAAAAAAACATACAATTATATCAATACACATGCAAAGTCTCCTCAATTACATGTTAAAAAAAAAAAAATAGAAACATAACTTAGATTGTATTAATATTTTCCCATATGCCTTCATCATGGTCAGTGCGAGTAGCATGAACAAAGTCCTCTTCCAATTGGGATATAGCAATGGGCAACCGTGGTGAATTTTGAATGTTAATAAAATCATCTAATTCTTCTCCATTCTCATTTGTGACATCAATCATTTTTCCTTTGAGGACAACTAACCACCTACCATTTGATGGATCAGTGACATAAAACACTTGTTTTGCCTAGTATGCCATTATGAAGGGTTCTTCCTTACGACCAATCTTGTTTATATCAATCAAAGTAAATCCCATTTGGTCTCTTTGGACACCAGTATTGCTATCAACCCATTTACATTTAAATAAAGGCACTTTGAATTTAGTATAGTCGACCTCCCAAATCTCCTCAATGACTCCAAAGTAACTAATTGATGCCATGATGGGGTTTTTGTCCTTTGCACTAGAAAAGTGCATAGATGTTGCCTCAATAGATACTCCACTATTCTGGACCGTACTTTTGTCATCTTGTGCCTTCGTATAGAATGAGTATTTGTTAATGTCATACCCTTGCCAAGTTATAACATTATATCTAGGACCATGTGCTAGCCATTTTAGTGAATCAGAGGCATTGTCACTTGAAAATATTTTGTTTTGAAACCAATTGATAAAGTTGTTGTTATGCTCTTTCATCAACCACCTTTCACCCATTTTGGGGTTTAGGTCCTTTAACATGGCTTTATGCGCATCTATGTAAGGAATAACCTCTTACTGTATTGTTCAAAATATACAAGTGGGCGGTGCTCAACTCTACATGATCTTTTGTTTGAATTCTAATACCACGAGTTCCCTTACCATTTAGCCTATCATCATGACGATTTCTAGGTGCACCCACGAGTACGACTCTTGCCAAGTAATCTGTACAAAATTCTATGGCTTCTTCTGCAATATACCGCTCAACAATTGAAGCTTCGGGTCTGAATGGATTTTTAGAATACCCTTTGAAGATCTTCATGTATCGCTCAATTGGGTACATCCACCTCAAATAAACCGGCCCACAAATTCGTATCTCCCTCACAACATGAACTATTAAGTGAATCATTATATCAAAGAATGATGGAGGAAAATACATCTCCAATTGACATAGCACAACCGTAGCCTCATTTTCCAACTCATCTAGTGATTTTTCATCGATAACCTTGGAACAAATAGAATTGAAGAAAAAACATAGTCGCATAATGGCATGTCTAACATTCTTAGGCAATATGTTACGTATAGCCACGGGTAACAAGCTGTTGCATCAAAACGTGACAATCATGGGACTTTAATCCAATTAACTTCAGATCTTTCATGGATACAAGACTCTTAATATTTGAAGAGTATCCTTGTGGCACTTTAATACTTTCAAGACAATGACATAAACTACGTTTCTCCTTCTTTGACAAGGTGTGACATGCTTGGTGGTAGATATGTTCTATTGCCTTCAGGCCTTGGATGTAATTCGGGACGTATTCCCATCTCACAAAGGTCTTGGCATGCTTTGATCCCATCCTTTGACTTTCCTTGAATGTTTAACAATGTGCCAATGAGACTATCACATACATTCTTCTCCACATGCATAACATCAATACAATGTCGTACTTCTAAATGGCTCCAATATGGAAGATCAAAGAAAATTGATCTCTTCTTCCACATGTTCTTGTTAGAAGACCTTTTTTGGGTCTTTCCAAATGTAATGCTTATGTTCTTCACTCGATCGTAAACTTGTAAACCAGTCAATGGTTCTCTCGACAATTTCATCCTCATGTATGCCATTAAAAGCTTTCTTCGGTCTACGGTATGGATGGTCATGCGGGAGAAATTTTTTGTGCCTGTTATAAACCTGTCTTCTTTCCATGTTTCAATTGTAGATAACTGGTCTCTTCTTCACAAATAGGACAAGCATAATGCCCCTTCACACTATACCCACTCAAGTTTCCATAGGCAGGGAAGTCATTAATGGTACAAAATAACATTGCATGCAACTTGAACTTCGCTGCTGATACCCATCAAATGCATCTACTCCTTCCTCCCATAATAATGTTAAGTCTTCTATCAAAGGACTCAAATACACATCTATGTCATTTCCTGATTGTCTTGGACCCGAAATCATCATACACAACATGACATATTTACGCTTCATGCATAACCATGGTGGAAGATTGTAAATCATCAATAAAACGGGCCATGAACTATGGTTACTACTTAAATTTCCAAAAGGATTCATCCCATCTGTTGCTAATCCAAGTCTAAGGTTTCTTGCATCACTACCAAAACTTGGAAATAGACGGTCAAAATTCTTCCATTGGGGAGAGTCGGATGGATGTCGCATTTGCCCATCACATGTTTTTCTCTTTGAATGCCAAATTAAATTTTCAGCATCTTCGTGAGCGTACAACCGCCTAAATCTTGGAATTATTGGAAGATACCATAAAACTTTTGCGGGAGGACGTTTTTTACCACTCTCCCGACTACAATCATCACCATCCTTCGCTTTGTAACGTGATACACCACATGTTGGACATTGGTCTAAAGATGAGAATTCTTTCTGTATAACACACAATCATTAGGGCAAGCATGTATCTTCCTATATTCTAAACCCATCGGACAAAGTATCTTCTTCGCTTCATACATACGGTCCAGGCAAGGTGTTATTGTCTGGGAGCATCTCCTTCAAAAGTTGGAGTAATTCATTAAAACTTGTATCACTCCAACCAAATTTTGCTTTTAGATTGACCAATTTTAACACAGATGACAACCGTGTGAAAGTTGTACATCCGGGATACAAATGTGTCTCTAAATCGGTCCTCAATGTATCATATATAGATGCATGTGCTTCAAGAAAGCTCTCTTGACTCACATCACAAAGCATGTCCTCTATTCGATCTTCGCAGGTTACATCATCCTCAATAGTTTGTGATACTGTTGGAATATCAACCACTTCACCGTGCCATGTCCATATGGTGTAATTCTTCATCATCCCATCGCAAATAAGATGTTCCCGCGTTGTGTCCATCTCTTGTACTCTGCCATTTACACAATTAACGCATGGGCAATAGATTTTTCCATTCATTTTGGGAGCATTTTTTTCGGCAAATTTCAAAAAGGAGTCAACTCCATTCTCATACTCTTCTGACATGCGACTTGCATTGACCCAAGTTCGATCCATCTAACTACACAAAAGGGCTTGCCTAGATATTCAAGGTTTATTAGAAAAGGTTTAGCAAAACAATACAAAAAAAACGTCTACATTTGATTTCCCACGTAAAGAATGGGAAAATAAAACGTGTACATCTACATTAGTATATACCAGTTCGAAACCGAAAACAAACTTCCAAAAGCCTAAAGGAACCTAGATCAAATCAAACCATACAAAATCATCCATCATCTTTCCAATGTTCATATGCAGGAAATGCTCTAAATAATCTATATTTATGTTAAATGCATGCTGTAAATCATCCATACAACTTAATCATCTTAATCTAACCTGATGAGAAGGGGTTTCCTTAGGGAAATGAGGGGTACCACACACACGACAACAACGGCGAGTGCAAAGCCGTGTAAGAGCGCGCGAGGGGCGGCGAGGGGCGGCGTTACCACGTCAAACAACGAACGACGAAGAAGGAGAGAACCGAGGTAGCGAGCACACGACATTGAGGACTGAGGTAGCAGATGACGAAGAAGAAGCAGAGGAACTGAGACCAGAGCACGAAGAAGAAGCAGAAGAACAACTGCGCGCTCTGGAGGCTAGGTATGTTAGGACATTCGACGTCGGTTACTAAAAAACCTGACGTGGATAATGCTTTCGACGTCGGGTAAATCATGGAACCGACGTTGATTTTGGGATTTCAACGTTGGTTATACATAACCGACGTTAAATTTAAACATTTAACATTGTCTGTTATCTAACCGACGTTATTTGTCCATTACTACGTCGCTTTTGTTATAACCGACGTTAAATATTGTTTCTTAATTACAAGTTTGCCACCGCATCTTGTACAACGTCGATCTTCATAAAAAACGACGTTGGATGCTGTTGTAGTAAGTGTTTTTTGTAGTAGTGTTTTCCTAATAATTCTCTAGGTATGAGATGTGGGTTGTAGTTGTGAGGATATATATATATATATATGGTTTAGTTATGTAGAAACCCATAAAACAAATCATAACGAGTGAGAGTGCATTTGTGCAGCGGAAGAATCCAAAATTTGATGGACCTTATGATTATTGGACTATGCTCATTCATGGGAAATTTCTTATGATCAAAAGAATATTGGAGTTTTATAGAAGATGTGGTACCTATTGCAGTAGAAGGAGCTCCACTTAGTGAAGCACAAAGGAAACTCATTGGTGATGCTAAGCTAAAAGATATTAAGTTATAAGTCCCTGAGTTCCCTTGAGAAGGGAGAGGTCATCCCTAGGAGGATCACCAAAAACATGATTAGAAGGGAAGCCTCCTCCCCACCCTTATCCCTTAATTTAATTAGCATTTTCCTTCTCTTTAATTTCCTAGACTCATATTTAAATCTTGTTTTTGTAGGATTACTAAAGAGCACCCCTTTTTTGAAGTCCACCATCTTTTCTGGAGGAAAGGATCTTTGGACCCAAGCCTTTGAAGCAAGGACAATCCATGAGGGAAGAGAAGGTCAACCATTGACCTTCTAGACGAGAAAAGCCATGGTTTTGGAGGACAAGGCAAGGGAGCAGCCTCTTTTAGGTCAAAATTAGGGCAACATGTGCTTCTAGGATCCGTAATGAAAGTCCCTCTAGGTCTCTCACCCATGCCTATATATAGAAGGATCTTCACCTCTTGTAAATGGTTAGAAATTGAATGAAAGTTTAAGAATCATTATCTTTAAGTGTTTTCCTTTCTTGAGTCTTACCTTGAACCTTGGTTCAAGTGGCGACAACCACCATTTATCTTGAGTTGGTCCATCCCCCAAGTGACGTGTCATCACCCCTTACTCACCCCACTTCTTCTTTTCTCAAATTTTTTTCCTTTTCTTCTTTTCTTTTTGCATTGTTAGTCTTTCACATCCAACTCCTTTATATTTGTTGTTTCATGCTTTAAATAATCTTTTCTCCTCCTAAACCCTTGGAAGTGCACCTTCAACCTAGATAAGTGATTATCTTAGTATCTAGTGAGAATCTTCCTTAGGCTTTCTATCTTAATTGTATTAAACACCTTATATGACTGACTTAAAAACTGCACTCATATCATGAAGGCTAAAAATTATTTCTTCTAGGCCAATGATAGATCAATTTTGGAAACTATTTTGAATAAAGATACAACTAAAAGCAGTTGCGATTCTTTGAAGCAGAAGTGTCAAGTGACAACAAAACTACAGTGAGCAGAACGACAAGCCCTCCAAAAGGAGTTTGAGATGCACAACATGAAAGGGGGAGAATCTATTAATGAATACTTTGCATGCACTCTTACTATCATCAATAAGCTATGAGTCATTAAGGAAAAGATGGATGATGTTGAATTCATTAAGAAGTTATTGAGATCCATGACACCCAAGTTCAAATACGTGGTGTGTTCTATTGAGGAATTGAAAGATTTGGATGCACTTACTAAATCTTCTAGTCCATGAGCAAGGGATGAAACCTCATGAAATATAAGAGCAAGTTTGAAGGTTACCTTTGGTGAATCTTTAGGAGGAAAAAATGAGGAAGAGGACGAAGACGTGGTGATTTCGAGGACGAGGAAGAAGTGGAGGTAGACACAATTTTGATAAATCTGCCATTGAGTGTGTTACCATTGCCATAAACTTGGACACTTTCAGTATGAATGCCCAATGAAGGAATCAAATTCAACAAGTTACGTTGTGGGTTATTGTAGACCCCAAATCTTGCCCTACCTCAAAATAAAGAGCAGAAGACCTCCAATTCGAAGATGGACATGTCCTAAAAGGTCCCTAGGGTATACTAATAGGCCCCATATTAGAGTAGGAAGGTTTTTTATACGGAAAAAAATAAGAAATTTCACCTAAAAGGTCGAGACCGCCGTCTTGCCATCGGAAAAGGGCGAGACCGCCGTCTCGTTTGGGGAGACGGCCGTCTCGCCACTTGCCATGGCGAGACCGCCTTCCTATTTGGCGAGATGACCTTCTCTCCATTTGACAAATCGATACCACCGTCTTGATAGGCGAGACAGCCGTCTCGCCACTAGCTATGACGAGACCGCCTTCCCGTTTGGCGAGACGACCATCTCGCCATTTGCCAAAGGTGAGACCACCGTCCCATTTGACGAGATGACGGTCTTGACCTTGCCAGGCGAGACGGCGGTCTCGACCTGACAGGCACGAATCCCTATAAAAGGAGGGCGCTCTCCCCTTCATTTCACACAGTTCTTCTGAAAGAATTAATGGTTGAGTTCAAGAGGGGGGGGGGTGAATTGAACTTTAAAACTTTTTCACAAAACTTACTTTCTTTTGGAAGAATGAGTTATCTTTATTCAATCTTTGCGAAGGTAGTTTGGTTTAAACACAGCAAGTTTATTGACAGAAAATAAAAGAGATGAAAGAAGAATATTAACACACAAATTTATACTGGTTCACTCTAATCCAGAGCTACATCTAGTTCTTGACAAACCAGTCAAGTTTCACTAATACCAAGTGAAAATTACAACCAGTAGATACTCACCAATCTACCCCAAGAACTATCTTGCAAACCCACAAGATAGAATCTTGAAAACCACCCAGTAACCAAACCCAGTTACTGTACCAAGTGCAGATTACAATCCAACCTGCACAATCAAACTTTTACAAAAGAATATGGAAAGAAAAAACCTGGACTTGAAGTTCTAATTGTCTAGAACAAATTCTTACAGCACTTTCTCTCTTTGATTGACCACAATTCTGATCACAGCACCTTATGATATGAAAAGATTCTTGAATGCAGAGAAAGTCACGTATATGAAAGTTTCACAGATTGACTTCACAAGTTTTCTCAAGTAGTGTGTTGTATATATTTCAAAAGATAGATCAATTTTGTATATATAGAGTAAAACAAAGAATCGAACGTTTCATCCGTCAAAAACTGTTTCGAGAGTCACAAGATCGATTAGATTGAAAGTATAACAGCTTTAGAAGAGACTCGATCGATTAGAACTGAAGTATGATCGATCAGATCGAGTTATGATCGATCAGAATGAAACTATGATCGATCGAATACATTTCAATCGATTGAAACCACGATTCAATCGATTGATTTCATTTAAAAGTTCATTCAATCGATTGTTTCGAAGTTTTCAATGGATTGAAACAGACTTTAGAAAAATGATGACTCTCGTTTCAATCGATTGAAATTTATTTCAACAGATTGAAATCCTGCAAACACTTAGTTAATAAAATAGCCTCTCTGTTTTAACAGATTGAAAAATATTTCAACATGATTGATTCTCCGAAAAACTCTTAGACTCGAAAAAATAGTCTTTCTGTTTCAACAGCATTAAAAATCATTTCAACAGATTGATTTTCTAAAAACTCTTAGATCGAAAAATAGTCTTTCTGTTTCAACAGATTAAAAATCATTTCAACAGATTGAAAATGCGAAACTTTGATATTGAAAAATTCATTGAGTTATTTTAACTTGTTGATTCCGCGAATCAATCAATTGAAAATATGACTATGTATGACCACTTATTATGTTAAGTGATTTTAACAGATTGAAAATCCTTTTCAACAGATTGAAAAACTTAGTTTGTTCTTTTAATACTTAGATGTTAGTTTTTCATGCGTAAAAATGATTTTCAATGGGATGCAACATTATAAGGCGCTTATCACAAAATATAATGGACTATCAAGAGATTAAGTGCTTAAACTAAAAACCTAATCATCTACACACCCACAACCTAAGCTATATCTATGTCTTCATCAAATCCACCAAGTGCTTCAATCTCCCCCTATTTGATGGAGACAAATAACCACCGCACCTCGCATAAAAAATAACGACTGAGACATAGACCGAGACATATATTTTGTGGTGTGTGTGTAGTGACAGCTTTAAGCAAAATACTTCTCCCCTATTTGATCGCATCAAATAGATTGTTGTAGTTACAGATCCAATGGGGCCACATGGGAACCCCAAATATAAACCAGAACATTAAAAACTAAGAAAAGAAAACGAATAACGTAAACATATAGAAAGTCTTCATTCGTCCCCGGGCCTTGATTGAATTGCAGTTCCACAATCCCGTTGTAAATGTCTTCTAGTTGATTATCAATATGCCGGAACCTTGCAATGAAATTTTCATCCAAATAATGTCGCCGAGCCCTCGCAGCAGTTAGTCATCTCGCATATGCCTCCTTTGGTCCGAATGCGTTCGCTCATTTGATGTAACATTGTTCTTTCGAACCGAGACAGCAGGCGTGCCACTGGCCAAGCGGTGGATTGTATGGAATCATTTCCAATGGGGTCACTTCTTCCATTGGATCGATCGAACGTGTCGCGTAAGTTCCAGGAATATCGGTGTTGATTCCTTCCTCTTGCTCTTCTTCTTCACTTTCTTCACTTCTCCCAAGCATCTTCTTTCGAGATCCATTCACCATCAATTTTAATGAATCCCATTTTGTGAAGCACGTAATTATTTATTTCATTCGTTGGTCTGACTGGTTTCAACAAGTTCTCCTTCTACATTGACACCAAAATGTGTTAAAAACTTAGAAATCAGAATAGCATAAGGATACCCGAAATCACTAAGTCTCTTGGCTTTGATCATGTGGTCCTTGATGACGAAGACCCAGCTTCACCCGTATCCCGTGGTGAATGCAAGACATCGCATCTAAATCTCCTTCGTTTAGCACCGCATGATTGCTCCCCCGGGTGTGAGCTGCCACGACACAATGAAAGCGAGTATCCTTTCTTCCAGCCTTCAGCTTCCCAGCATTGAAAGAACTGACGTAATCACAAGTATTCTTCATGCATGACCGAAAGTACTCGGACTTTATTAAATTCCTCCACATCTCGAAGTGTATCCTTTGGTGACTTTTACACCAACATCCTTTATTCCAAAGAACCTCCTTCCGAGATGTTGGGTGTAATTTCAATGTCTACACCTTTAACTTGGGTTTTCAAAGTGGAACCTTCAAAGGATAAATTTGTGAAGAAAACTTTAATCAAATCGGATAAATCCTACCATTTAACTCCGTAAACTTCAAGCTTTTGGTGTTGTAAGTAGCTTTCGAATGCCTCCGAATCCTTCTAAGCATCAAACCAGGAAAACTTTAACATCTTCTAATGTTGACTTGTTTCCTGCTCAATTCATGGATAAACAAATCCATTTTCTCTTGGTCCCCATTGAACCAAGTTTCAATCCTTCCTTCAACATTCTCGTTCTTGCCTTGCAAGCAGAAGACTCGCCTCGCTGGACTTCTTCCTACCGGACTTTGTGCGCTTGAGCATACTTGATTTTTGGGATGAGCAGAACGTAGAAGAACCGAGAAAAGAGAAAGTTCAAAGAAGGAAATAATACTACAGGAATAAGAATACACAAACCTTTCAACTTCAAAAATTTTTGTCTTTATTGTTTTATTGTTTCTGCGCAAAGGATGATAAAGGTGGAGAGAGAAGAAATTGCTACTCGAACCATTTAATTACCCTCACAGTAGATATCCAATCGTGGTCAATCAGCTTTTATTGGAAATCTTAGATATTAAAGAGAGTAGTTGAAGTTTATCTTGTTGTAAATGCTTTCAACTTACTCGCGTAAATTGTTTAGAGACAAAGTACATACAACTAGCCCTAAAAAATAATCAATTGATATTCCGTGAAACCAATTGATTTTGTAATCGCAGATACTCGTAAGTAAAATAAACCGATTGAATCGAGAATTAAATCGATTGATTTGTGAAATAAAATCATTCAGAGTATCATAAGTGAATTCAATCGATTGAATCGAAGATTTAATCGATTGATTTATAGAAGAAAGTATGCAGAGCTACAAGGTTAATGAAATAAACCGATTAAAAGTTTATCTAATCGATTGAACTAATAACATATCAATACCGTAGAGTAAGGATCAAGAAATCAACAGATTATTTAGCAATTTCAATCGATTGAAACAAATAATATCAAGTTATTCATGCAATTATTAATCAATTGAACTTGTTATCATCCTCGTTAAAAAGCATACAATCATCGTAAAGAATCAGTTATGCAATACTAGATATATCTAGAATTCCTAATTCAGTCCTAAGCATATTAAGTCTATCTCTAGGAAGTGGTTTAGTGAATAAATCACCTAACCTGTTTTTCGCATTCAACGAATAAAATCTCACAAGTCACCCCTAGATACGTGTTCTCTAATAAAGTGATGTCTAATTTCAATATGCTTAGTTCTAGAGTGTTGAATAGGATTCTTAGTTAAGTTTATTGCACTAGTATTGTCACAAACCAGAGGTACCTTGTTTAGAGTCACTCCATAATCTGTCAGCTTGTTGCTTGAGGTAAATGCTTTGAGCACAACAGCTCCTACCTGCAATGTATTCAGCTTTCGTAGCTGACGAGCAACACATGCTTGCTTTTTGTCGTGCCACGATATAAGATCTGCTCCCAAGCAAATGACAAGTACCGAGGTACTTTTTCTCGTCCAATCTACATCCCGCAAAGTCGAATCGGAAAATCCAACAAGTTCAAGGGATGCACCTTCAGGATACCATAGTCCAACATTAACTGCTCCCTTAAGGTACTTCGTAATCCTTTTGGCAGTGATAAGATGTGATTCCTTTGGATTTGCTTGAAATCTTGCACAAAGGCATACACTAAACATAATGTCGGTCTACTAGCAGCTAGATATAGTAGTGAACCAATCAAACCTCTATATTTAGTTTGATCAACAAGTTTTCCTTTTTCATCTAAGTCTAGACAAGCAGTTAGTAGACATGGGTGTAGAGGATTCCTTGCAATTGTGCATATCAAATTTCTTTAACAATTCATTGCAGTATTTAGATTGGCTAAGAAAAATGCCATTTCTTAATTGTTTAACCTGGAGACCAAGGAAGAAATTCAATTCTCCCATCATAGACATTTCAAATTCACTTTGCATTTCTTTTACAAACTTATTACACATGGCATTATTAGTGGAACCGAAAATGATATCATCCACATACACCTGCACCGTAATAATGTCGGTCCAGCATTTCTTAATGAATAGAGTTTTATCAACCTCACCTCGCTTGTACCCTTGATCAATTAGGAAGTTACTTAACCTCTCATACCATTGTCTAGGTGCTTGCTTTAAACCATAAAGGGCCTTTTTCAATTTGTAGACATGGTCGGATGCTTGTGATCTTCAAACCCAGGAGGTTGAGAAACATATACTTCTTCATTGATGAGTCCATTAAGAAAGGCACTCTTTACATCCATCTCGTAGTAATCTGAAACCACTTATACGAGCATAAGCTAATAATAATCTGACAGCCTTCAAGTCTAGCTACAGGTGCAAAGGTTTCATCAAAATCAATACCCTCTTGTTGGTTATACCCTTTGGCTACCAACCTAGCTTTATTTCTAGTAATAATGCCGTGTTCATCTAGCTTGTTTTTGAATACCCACTTAGTACCAATTACATTGATATCTTTGATTTTAGGAACTAATTCCCACACTTTATTTCTTTCAAATTGATTAAGCTCATCATGCATGGCACTAACCCAAGTATTCATCATTTAATGCTTCTTTAACCTGTCTTAGGCTCTATTTGTGAAATGAATGCCATATGATTACGTAATTGGTTAAGAGAATGTCTAGTAGATACTCCCTTATTAATTTGCCCGATGACATTGTCTAGAGAGAGATCTCTTGGGACAATCCACTCTTTAGGAAGCTCTTCCGAACATCTTCTTCCCTGTTCTTCAGCAATTGTTGGTGACTCAGCCTTTGCAGGGTCCACCGATGGATCACCTTCTTCAACAAGTACATCGATCTCGTGTTTCGGCATGTTTCAACCGATGAGAATTATCGCTTAAATCTTCTTCATCTGCAGCACTCGTTGTTCTATTCTGCACCACTCGAGGAGACTCATTAAACACAACATGTACTCGATTCTTCAACTGATTTCAATCTTAAATTGTAAACTCTATATGCATGACCGTGAGTTGAGTAACCAAGAAAAATTCCTTTATCGATTTTTCATCAAACTTGCCAATATTTTCTTTCCCATTGTTTAAAACAAAACATGTACATCCAAAAACCCCGAAATAGTTTATGTTGGGTTTTCTTCCTTTGTACAGCTTCATATGGGGTTTTCTTAAGCATGGGTCTAATCAAGACTCTATTCAAAACATGACAAGCAAGTGTTTATCGCATCTCGCCCAAAAGTATTTAGGTAAAGAATTTTCACACAACATTGTTCTAGCAAGTTCCACAATGGATCTGTTCTTTCTTTCCACAACACCGTTCGTTGAGGAGTTCTTGGAGCAGTAAAAATTGTGTTTTATGCCAAACTTTTCACAAAAAGATTCAAATTTTTCATTTACAAATTCTCCACCATTGTCACTTTGAATAGATGTAATGAAATACCCTTTTTCATTATGTAAAACCTTGGCAAGCTTTTTGAAAGATTTGTAAGAATCAGATTTGGCTTTAAGAAAAACAGTCCAGGTAAATCTGAAAAGTCATCAACAATTACCATGATATAAAGATTACCACCTAAGCTTTTATTCCTTGAAGGACCAACCAAATCCATGTGAAGCAGTTCCAAAGGTTTGGAAGTTGAAACAATGTTTTTGTTTGAAAAAGATTTTCTAGTTTGTTTGCCTTTCAAACAAGCTTCACAGATTTTGTCTTTCAAGATTTGAAGCTTAGGCAGCCTGAAAACTAATTCTTTTGAAATCAGCTTGTCAAGATGTTTAAGATGTATATGAGCAAGCCTTCTATGCCACAACCAAGATTCTTCTTCTTTAGTAAGAAGACAACTTTGAGATGATATAGATCGCTTGATATCTAACATGTATATGTTGTTTAACCTCTTACCTACCAACATTACCGTGTTAGATTCTCGGCTCACGGATAAGGCACTTTTCTCGGTTTGAAAATGACTTTGTGACCAAGATCACATAACCGACTTATGCTTATCGATTGTGCTTGAGACCTTCAACAAGAAGAACATTGTGAATGATAACTGATTCACCATCACCAATATCTCCAGTAACCTAGAATTCTTCCCTTGTTGTTGTCTCCATAAGTCACATGACCTCCATTCTTCAATTTCAGACTTCTGGAATTTTGAAATGTCACCTGTCATGTGCCTTGAGCATCCGCTGTCTAGGTACCAAAGGGACTCTTGTTGCTGTTCCCGAAAGATCAAACATCAAGTATTTGGTACCCTTACGTATTTTGGGTCCTTAGGAGTCAAATTTTCTGTTTAACATGCTTTGGAACCCATCTCTTCCTACCTTGCGGCACAAAATATTTTCTAGCATGACAGAATTTTATAGTATGTCCTTTCTTCATGCAAGTAATGACAAGATGAGAAAGGGGATGTCGTTGTTTTTCTGTATGAAAAGAAGTTCAAATATTTTTTAGTTTTTACCCCATTCTTAGGTTTGTACCC